TAAAAACCCTCAATAATAAAAATAAGAACCCAATTAAAAAATAGGCAAAAGATGTGAACAGACATCTCACCAAAGAAGATATATGAACGGTAAATAAGTACATGAAAAGATGCTCAACATCATATGTCATCAGGGAATTGCAAGTGAAAACAACGAGATATCATCACATACCTATTAGGATGGCTAAAATCGAGAAAACCGACAACACCAAATGCTGACAAGGATGTACAGCAACAAGAACTCTCATTCATTGTTCATGAGAATAAAAATGGTACAGCCTCTATGGAAGACAATTTGGGGGTTTCTTACAAAGCTAAACATAGTCTACCATACACTCCAGCAATTGCGCTTCTCGGTATATCTACCCAAATGAGTTGAAACCCTATGTCTACACAAAAACCTCCACATGGATGTCTACAGCAGCTTTATTCATAACTGCCCAAATGTGGCAGCCACAGAGATGTTCTTCAGTAGGTGAATGGATAAACTGTGGTATATCCAGATAATGGAATACTATTCAGCACTGAAAAGAAATGAGCTATCGGGCCATGAAAAGATAGGACGGAATCTAAAATGCATACTGCTTAGTGAAAGAAGTCGATCTGAAAAGGCCACATGCTGTCTAACTCCAAGTACATGACATTTGGAAAAGGTAAACTACAGAGACAATAAAAAAATCAGTGTTTACCAGAGGTCTGGGTGATGGGGAGGAAAGAGAGATGAGTAGATGGAGCAAAGGGAATTTTTAGACAGTAAAACTACTTTGGATGACATTGCAAAGGTGGATCTATGACATTACGCATTTGTAAACAAACAGAGCAAAACAAAAAACTCTCAATACATTGCTTCATTCACTAGAGAAAGAACCAGAGAAATAATGTTTGCGTGAGAAACAGCTTGTTGGTTAATACAGATGTGCACACCCACTTTTCTAGGTCCCTACCTGTCTACCCCCTTCCATCCCTGCTCACCTGCATGGGGCCCTGTGTGAAAAGGCACCTGCTCAGATGGTGAGGGTACAGGGAAGGGAAAGCACAGGTTATTCTGGCTGCTGGGCTGCTCACTCCAACCCCGTCATCATGCGCTCCCACACTGGACCCTGAACACATCTGATTCAGCCTGTTATGTGTAGCGACTTCTACCCATACAATCCTTGCAGAGTTATAATCCTTGATTCCAGTTCAACTGTATTAATCTCCTATTGCTACATAACAAATTACCACAAATTTAGCATGTAACACAAATTTATCTCACAGTTCCCAGGGGTCTGGGGTCTGGGTATGGGTTAGTGGGGTCTCCACTCAGTGTCACGAGGCTGAAATCAAGGTGTCGGCTGGGATGCAATCTCATCTAAGACTCAGGGTCCTCTTCCGGGTTCACTGGTATCTGGCAGAGTTCAGTTCCTTATGACGGAAGGACTGAGGCCCTCAGCTCCCAGATGCTGCACACCACTTCTTGCCACGTGGCCTCCACAAGATGGCAGGTAAACAGGAGAATAGCTCAGCTGCTTTGAATCTCTGAGCCCGTTCTTTTTAAAGCCTGATCCACTTACATCAGGTCCAATCTGGATAAGTCCTTTTGATTATCTGCAAAATTCTTCATCTCTGTCATATGACATCCTAATCACGGCAGGCAGTTCCATCACCCTCACTGTCCTGCCCACACTCAAGGCGAGGGGATCATACAGGTGTACACCAGGGGCAGGAATTTCGGGGGCCATCTCAGAATTCTGGCTACCTCATGGGTAAGTCATCCTGATGAAACTAACATCAGATTAATTCTCCTAAATCAAGTGATTCACCATACTACCCCCTTCTCTCAAAACAGCCTTCAACAATTCTGCAAAACATAGAGATAACTCTAAATACGTTAACTGGATACTCAAGGCCTTTCTCAACCATGTCCCAGGAGACATTTCAAACCTCCACTCTGACAACCCCTCATGGATAAGCCTTCAGCCACACCCTCTGCCTGCCCCCTTCCCCCTTGTGTTCTCTGTACCTGCGTTCCTAGTTGCACTCTTCCTTCAGACCTAATCCACCCCTTTCCCTCCTCCTCCTTATTCAAACCTGTACATCCTTTAAGATGCTGCATCAACACCTGTATAAAACCTTTCCTGACCCTTTGGACTCACATCAAGCTTATCTTTATTTGAATTTGTCCTAAAGTACAGTGGTGGGTTACAAAAAATGACGACAAACTTCTCATCCCTGGATACACATCCTTTGCAACGCAACTCTGCCACTCACCTCATCAAGAGATGGGCTGTCTTTATCTACCTTCTGACACTGTGCTGGGCCCTGTGAATGTTTTTAGCCAATGGGACATTAGCAAACATGATGCAAGCAGACACTGAAGAAGCATCTGTGCACTGGCCTTGCCCTCTTGCTGTCTTGGGAACTCTGCTACCTCTACCAGGTGACTGAGGCTGGACTAATCTCCCAGATGAGGGACAAGTGGCCAAGTTATCCCTGTGGCCCCAACTGACACTGGGCCAACCACCTGTCACATGACAAATAATAAATGTCTCGTGTTTTAAGTCATGGGGCTTTGTACCGACATTTGTAGCAAACTACTCACTCCTTAAGAAAATAAAAGATTCAAGGGCCTCCTTTTCAACATTTCTTTTGTGCAGCTTCATTGTAGTAAGTGTTCTTCTGAGAAGAGTTAATTGCAGCTTGCAATGGAGGGTCAGCTCACGTACATGAATCACATGCTCAACATCTGGAGGTAGCCATGGGAGCAGGCCATGAAGCTTCTCAAAGTCACTTGGCTTTTAAAGGTGGAAGCAACCCCAGTGTCCATCAACAGATGAGTGGATAAACAAAATGTGGTTTATCCATACATTGGACTATGATTCAGCCATAAAAATAAATGAAGTTCTGAAACATGCCACAACATGGACGCACTGGGGAACCAAAATATTCGTGTGACTTGCCTTCTCATGAGACTCTTATTGTGTCCTGGAACCAGACTGCAGTATCTCCCAGGTGTGTCTGAAGTCATCATCATCACTCTCATCAAATCAGACGTTCCAGTTTCCTGTTGAAATCCTTCTGTGTGTCTTCCTTTGTCCCACCGCTTCACCTCTGTTAACTAAAATCCCTTCTAGTAATTTCTCTCCAGGCCCTCAACAGATCCTAAAGTAAACTGAGAACCTCTGAGGTCAGAGTGGTACTCTGTAAGTATGAAGTCACAGGCTCAGGTTAATAATCAACCCTCTAAGCAAAGAAGAAGAGCAAATGCTAGAGAGGAAAGAAAAGAATGCAGGCCCCTCAAGAGCAGTGGGGAGTCGGCAAGCTAGCCAACACCATTTAAAACCAGCATCGATCTATGCCTGGGGAGGACTTTCACCACAGAAAATCAACAGCCTCAAATTTGGTAACACGGACACAGAAAACCACCACTGCTGACTGACCTTTCATTCTGGGGGCATTCTATTAAAACAAACTTTCAAAAATTCCCCAAATGCCCCTATTTTCCAACAACTTTTGGAAAACTATATCCCAACACTTCAAGGAGCTTTGTTTTAGGGTCACAGGAAACAGTCATTCACATAGGAGAATAGGAGATAGGAGGTTCTTAATTCTATACACTCAACTTTTTTCATCTCAGAAAAGGACTGAGTCCTGGGTAAGGACACTAGTCCTCCAGTTAGCCTACCAAAATACTAACTTGTCCAATGAACTTGTCCAATGAACTATAAAAAGAAGTCTGCAAATACAAACCTAAAATAGAAACATTCTCTTTTTAGTAATAAAGTTTCTAATGATGTATTAATAGTATGTAATACCCCTATTTCCTCGATGAGAGAGAAGTATTATTACTAGAAAAACCCATCTGGCTTGCCTCTGCAATAAAGCCAGTCTCCCAAGGACAAGAACCATGTTGGTTCTTCCATCCACAGCGCAAATACTTTGTATTTGGATGCTCTTAGTAAGTATGTCTTGAACATCAGTTTGGAGGCAATCAGACTATAAATTAAACTTTTCACCGTAAGTAGGTAATGAGTGGTAAGAGGCAATATATTAAAAGGTTCAATGGTGCTTTAAAGAGAACGTGAACCTATGCATACAAGAACACCCGCCTGGCTTTTCACTGCTGCTGGGACTGTTGGAAAGAGAGAGACAGATGGTATCATAGTGTAACAACATTCTGGGGGTGGGGTGGGGTCGGCGGGGCTGTGTGGAGGGCCTGCCCCCATGGCCTATGTGCCACTCCTATGCCCCTGGCCTTGGTATCCTCATTTTAAACAGCGAGCTCTACCTCGGATTGTGTACTTAAGTTCCTTGTATCCCTAAGAGATTGGATGCTATTTGTGCTACTTTTATTGCAGAATTGGTTCTCAACGGTTTCCATGTTTTCTACAATTCCACTATCTCCGATCAACAGTAAAAAAATCATATATGAGCTTTTATGACTTGGATATTGTAAGTGTTCAAAACATATAACACCGATGTTCCTATTTACCCTTAAAGACTCCAATGTCCTCACTTTTACATTCAGAAAATGAAAGCTGCCTTAGATATATAATTACAAAAACTTATTAATGCATATTTAATTGTATGACGAAAATGACACTCTGGCAAGGGATAGAAGGATTAAGCAAATTAATTAGATACAAAGTTCTTAGTCTCAAAAGCTGAATTCCTAGGAAGTTTAAGTGTTTGTCACCTGTGTTACTACAACTCCAAAATGACTGATTTTCCAAAAGGATGGTGGGTAGGGGGAATGACTTATGAATTAACCAGGGATTCTTTAGATATAATTATAAACTGCCAATCACCATGATTTCAATGATATTCAGGCTTTTAAAGCTATTTCATAAAAAAAAAAAAGAAAAGAAGAAAAGAAATTAGTCCTTATCTAAAAGACTATTTATGAGACTTAAGGAACTTATACATTCATGGCTGAGTGTTCAATAATATACCCCCAGTGGAATGGTCTCTAAAAATGTCTATAACTAAAAACAGAACAATGAAAAAAATTGAATGGCTTACTCTCTTGCTGGCGAGTTAGTGGAGGATTCCTTTTTTGAATCTGGAGAGCTTAGGGTTTGCAAAATACAATTATGTTTTTCAGTGGATGGGGCATCTCTTTCTTGCTTGGAGTGAATTAAATTTAAGGCCTCTATTCCGTCTTCTTCCTCCACCGTGTCACCTGGATTTGGCTGTGGTTCTGGACTCCTTAAAATCAGATCCTCTTCACTTACAGAAACTGTGAGGTCACTGCTGCTGCTGTCACTCTCCTCCTCCTGCTCTTCCCACATTTTTCTGCAGGGCTCCTGTGCCTCTGGGTCCCGGCGAGGAGGACGATCTGTAACGGGGACGTGAACAGAGTACTGATCACTGACTTCAGGCGGCAGCAGGGGTGAGACGTCCTACCTCCCAGAGCAGAGCTGCTCATCTGTTAGAGATGTGTATAAACAATCCACAGCGAACTACAGTATTTTAAGACCCATGAAAAATATTTTTAAAGTATCACAGTGGGTTTAAAAATCAGAGAATTTGCTCGCAAAAATATTTCCATGTACCTAGTTAAGAACTCATTAGAATGGAATTTGTTGGCAAAGTCACTACTTTGTTTTTTGACAGATACAATTAGACAGTATTTTGTATTCTTACATAAGACCATCACCACCCAAAAAACTAAATACCAACAAAAATCAGCAAACCATTTCAGCCTCTCACCCCACCTGAGGAAGCTTCCCAGGCAGGATGCTTCTCTTGAGAACACTCGATTTCAGATGCACTGTATTCTGAGCCTGATGGCAGAGAGACTGGCGGCCTGGCTCTTTCTTCCTCGACTTCAATATGCTCCCGTGTCAGTATTTCTCCCTCTGATCCCTCTGATCTGCTGGAACTGTCACACTTTAAATCAGTGGTTCTGTTCTCTGGACTTAATCTCTCCTGTAATGGGGAATGGAGTTCGGCAGACTTTCTGCCTTCAGATAAATTACTCTTGCCCTGACGTGCGTTGCTTCCTATCTCCAAGCAATGAGTTTGTTCCTCCTCAGACAACGCGCTGGCTGTGACTGTCGTTTTCTCACCCATCTGAAGAGATGTCTTTCCATCTATTCTGTCAGACTTATTTAAGCACTGTGTGTCACTATGAATTTGTACTACATAGCTGTCTGTCACATTACTGCTCCGGGCTGTCTGTTGGTGTGAATGTGGGTCAGGAATTGAAAAGTTCTTTGTGGGTTGGGGAGATTTCTGCTCTGTACTGAAATCTCCAACGCCTGAGACGGCTGACACTTGGCGGCCCATAAAGATTGTTGCTGGTTGATACAATCCTCTTGACGCGGCGGTCCCTGAGTTAATTTCTGCCGGCATTACAACCTGCACCACCAAAAGACATGAAAGTTAAACAGGTTGTGTATGAACAATGAGGTTATTTAGGTTGTTTTCAGAAATGAAATTAGGTCAGGAAGCAGGACCAATGAAAGCAACACCTACCATGTTCTATAAAACTCATGGCTTCCTACAAAATGAATGACCAAAAAACAGTACAGTCCACACTATTTAATTGTAATAACAATATTGGTTCACAAAGCAAATACGGTCAGGGAACTATGGAATCTGTATTTTTAAAAAAGAGATACATACATTGCATTGTACAGCTATGTGAATGTATTTAATGCCACTGAACTGTACACTCAAACATGGTTAAAATGGTAAATTTTCTGTTACTTATATTTTACCACAATTAAAAAAATAAACTTTGAGTTCTAACCACTTTCCACAGAGAAGTGGATTTGATGAAGCTAGAGAGGTACTTGAACAAAAAAACCGGGGGCATATAAAGGACTATTGGGGGTTTCAAAACTCTATTTCTAGTAGTGTGGGTAATATTAAAAAACTTCCAACAATCACATATTCAAGGCTGCATTAAAATATAACGCATATGTGCAAAATAATCTAATTTCCTGTCAAATTGAAAATAATAGCAGTTTTTTTCTGAACAACTTCAAGTAATTTTAAAGACATTTAAAGCAATTTAAATTCACTGGCATGTCTATGGGGAGTATGAGCACTGTCTCTTCCTTAAAAAGAGAGAGAGAAGGGGACGAGGGTGGGATGGGAAAGAGAAACAGAAGCAACTGGTTCAGCGGCTTGATCAAGGACACACAATGGGAAGCAGAACTGGAAGTAACAATCATAAAGCCTTGAAGAAGTTAAGTGTTTTTCTTCCAAAGGGACCAAAGCACCTCCACATACATAATAGCATTTAGTCCACAGAGCACTATAGGTTGATGGGGAGATGCATCTGCACCCCTCCTCTGCAGATGGAAAAACTGAGGCCAAAATTTTCAGAGAAAATATCATTCACATAGCTGAAACAGAATCTAGGTCTTACTTCCCTTCAAACATACTGTCTCTTCTATTTCTAAAGATAAAACAAACAACTTTGAAGCAAAAACAAATGAAAAGGGATGTCAGAGAAATGGCGGAATAAGGACCTCTCAAAATGCTCTGTAAAAGAAACAATAACAGTGGAAAACATCTTCAGAATAACTTTTCAGAACTCTGGAAATTAACCAAAGGCTTGCAGCAATCTGAGGAACATTTATTCAAGAAAAGTAACTGAATCTTGGCAGGAACAGCAGTACTTCACAGTGTTTTAACTTGCCCTATTCGCATTTCCCCCTCCTCCAGTCTGCGGTAACCTTGAAAATCAGCAGCCTGTAATCACAGCCTGTAAACCAGCACCCTTATAGAGACTGAAAGGAGTAGAAAAGGACTGGAACTCTTTCAAAGCCCCATTCCCAGAGAACTGACATTATTTGACCTGTCTAGTAGCTCCCTGGAAGACCACCCTCATAAGACTGTCTTTATTTGACCTGACTTGGAGCTGACTTTCCCTGGGGGTTATTTTTCAAAAATAAGCAGAGGCAAATGTTTAACATCAAGGCTGCCTACGGCAGTGGATAACAGTTGGGCAAACAATCGGCTAACTAAAATAACTTAAAAGGAAAAGTTGGTGAATGAGCTGTCCACAGGGGGCTTTGAAAAGCTCCAGCATATTCCTGGAAACCTAGACTGTGGGCATGCTCACTAAAAGTCCTGAGGGGGCGCTGGTTCTGGAAGGAGAGAGATTTGCGGCCTGGGCATGCGCAGTGCAGTTTGCTGCCCGGGCTGTCCGGCTCCGGCCGTGGCGGTTCCACACCAGCACTTCGGTGCCGGACCCAGTTTCCCGCCACCTGACCATGCTTCTGGGAGACGCCCCACCTCACTGTCACTCGAAGTTTTGTGGGGGTCAGGCGTCCAAGAGGATTGAGGTTTGCTTGATACGTGGCGTGTGCGAGACTCCTGAGGACAACTCCAGAACCATGGGACTCCGGCATCCAGGTCATTGAGATTCCACATATAAGTGACATCATATGATATCTGTCTTTGTCTGACTTACTTAATGAACTTTTAATGAACAGCATCCATGTGGCTGACAGGGTCTCGGTGCTCAGGCCGGGTGTCAGGCCTGAGCCTCTGAGGTGGGAGAGCCAAGTTTAGGACACTGGACCACCAGAGACCTCCCAGCCCCACGTAATATCAATCGGTGAGAGCTCTCCCAGAGATCTCCATCTCAACACTAAGACCCAGCTCCACTTAACTACCAGCAAGCTCCAGTGCTGGATACCCCATGCCAAACAATTAGCAAGACAGGAACATAGCCCCACCCATTAGCAGAGAGGCCGCCTAAAATCATAATAAGTTCACAGATCCTCCAAAACACACAACCGGATGCGGTCCTGACCACCAGAAAGATAAGAATCAGCCTCATCCACCAGAACACAGGCACAAGTCTCCTCCACCAGGAAGCCTACACAACCTACTGAACCAACCTTAGCCACTGGGGGCAGACACCAAAAACAACAGGAACTATGGACCCGCAGCCTGAGAAAAGGAGACCCCAAACACAGTAAGTTAAGCAAAATAAGACGACAGAGAAGTATACAGCAGATGAAGGAGTAAGGTAAAAACCCCACCAGACCAAACAAGTGAAGAGGAAACAGGCAGTCTACCTGAAAAATGATTCAGAGTAAAGATAGTAAAGATGATCCGAACTCTTGGAAATACAATGGAAAAAATACAAGAAACGTTTAACAAGGACACAGAAGAACGAAAGAGCAAACAATGATGAACAACACAATAAATGAAACTAAAAATTCTCTATAAGGAATCAACAACAGAATAACTGGGGCAGAAGAACGGATAAGTGACCTGGAAGATAAAATAGCGGAAATAACTACCACAGAGCAGAATAAAGAATAAAGAATGAAAAGAATTGAGGACAGTCTCAGAGACCTCTGGGACAACATTACATGCACCAACATTCAACTTATAGGGGTCCCAGAAGAAGAAGAGAAAAAGAAAGGGAATGAGAAAACATTTGAAGAGATTATGGTTGAAAACTTCCCTAATATGGGAAAGGAAATAGTCAATCAAGTACAGGAAGCAGAGAGTCCCATACAGGATAAATCCAAGGAGAAACATGCCAAGCCACATATTAATCAAACAATCAAAAATTAAATACAAAGAAAAAATATTAAAAGCAGCAAGGGAAAAACAACAAATAACACACAAGGGAATCCCCATAAGGTTAACAGCTGATCTTTCAGCAGAAACTCTGCAAACCAGAAGGGACTGGCAGGACATATTTAAAGTGATGAAAGACAAAAACCTACAACCAAGATTACTCTACACAGCAAGGATCTCATACAGATTTGATGGAGAAATTAAAAGCTGTACAGACAAGCAAATGTTGAGAATTCAGCACCGCCAAACCAGCTTTACAACAAATGCTAAAGGAACTTCTCTAGGCAGGAAACACAAGAGAAGGAAAAGACCTACAATAACAAACCCAAAACAATTAAGAAAATGGTAATAGGAACATACATATCGATAGTTACCTTAAATGTAAATGGATTAAATGCTTCAACCAAAAGACACAGACTGGCTGAATGGATACAGAAACAAGACCCATATATATATGCTGTCTGCAAGAGACCCACTTCAGACCTAGGGCACATACAGACTGAAAGTGAGGGGATGGAAAAAGATATTCCATGCAAACAGAAATCAAAAGAAGGCTGCAGTAGCAATTCTCATATCAGACAAAATAGACTTTAAAACAAAGACTATTACAAGAGACAAAGGAGGACAGTACATAATGATTAAGGGATCGATCCAAGAAGAAGATATAACAATTGTAAATATTTATGCACCCAACACAGGAGCACCTCAATACATAAGGTAAATGCTAACAGCCATAAAAGGGGAAATTGACAGTAACGCAAAAATAGTAGGGGACTTTAACACCCCACTTTCACCAATGGACAGATCATCCAAAATGAAAATAAATAAGGAAACATAAGTTTTAAATGCCACACTAAACAAGATGGACTTAACTGATATAGGACATTCCATCCCAAAACAACAGAATATACTTTGTTTTGAAGTGCTCATGGAACATTCTCCAGGATACATCATATCTTGGGTCACAAATCAAGCCTTGGTAAATTTAAGAAAATAGAAATTGTATCAAGTATCTTTTCCGACCACAATGCTATGACTAGATATCAATTACAGGAAAAAATCTGTGAAAAAAAAGCAAACACATGGAGGCTAAACAATACACTACTAAATAACCAAGAGATCACTGAAGAAATCAAAGAGGAAATCAAAAAATACCTAGAAACAAATGACAATGAAAACATGATGACCCAAAACCTATGGGATGCAGCAAAAGCAGTTCTAAGAGGGAAGTTTATAGCAATACAATCCTACCTCAAGAAACAAGAAACATCTCAAATAAACAATCTAACCTTACACCTAAAGCAGTTAGAGAGAGAAGAGCAAAAAACACCCCAAAGTTAGCAGAAGGAAACAAATCATAAAGATCAGATCAGAAATAAAAGGAAATGAAGGAAACAAGAGCAAGGATCAACAAAGCTAAAAGCTGGTTCTCTGAGAAGATAAACACAATTGATAAACCATTAGCCAGACTCATCAAGAAAAAAAGGGAGAAGACTCAAATCAACAGTTAGAAAAGAAAAAGGAGAACAACTGACACTGCAGAAATACAAAAGATCATTGGAGATTACTATAAGCAACTATATGCCAATAAAATGGACAACCTGGAAGAAATGAACAAACTCTTAGAAAAGCACAACCTTCTGAGACTGAACCAGGAAGAAATAGAAAATATAAACAGACCAATCACAAGCACTGAAATTTAAACTGTGATTAAAAATCTTCCAACAAACAGAACCCCAGGACCAGATGGCTTCACAGGCAAATTCTATCAAACATTTAGAGAAAAACTAACACCTATCCTTCTC